CCCCTCTGCCGCCTGGCTGCGCCCTGGCAGAGGTGCGTGGAGGGGTAGTCAGGGTTCGTGTCCCCCCGCTGCTTTGCCCGCTGGTCCCTGAATTGGTGGTCTCTTCTTTCCCTGCCGTTGCTCAGGCAATGAGGAGGCTTCTAGCATCGCTAAGGACATCGTGGTTTTTAGTTCGTATTTTGTTATTCTGCTTTTTGCTGCCTGAACGATAAGAAAATACCTCCCCCCTTCCACCCCTCCCTCCCCCCCCCCCCCCCCTCCGGCCGGCCCCAGCCACTCTCCTCCAAAGCCTGCCTAGCATGCACAGGCCGAATCAGTGATCAGGATCTTCAAGTGATATATATCTTTTTTCTTTCTGTCAACCTAAACACTCCTGAATACTTTTTTTGTTCTTCAGAGACTGCTGTAGGCTTGGGTCCGCTATGGTGTTGATTTCAGGTGATGAGTAGAGCCTGAAGAATCATCCCATGTACAAAGCAACCACCCTGGGAGTATGGGATGAGCTTTTCTGTGCTATCTGTCATTAATTCCGCAAAGGCTTGAGTCTGTGCAGACAATAGAACTCAAGGCTGCGATGCAGTGAATTCCCAAGCTTGGTGTTTGACATTCATCTTTCTCCTACAGTGTCTGAATACATCTGTAGGAAGCAGAATTACCCTGTGCAGACGTTGGAGGCAGGAAGTAGTTCATGCTAGTAACGGTTACTTAGGATAGGTGCATGACACTCATATGTTCTGACACTTACCCATCCTAAAAGTTGTAAGTAAGGATTTTCTTCACAAAACAGCGAGTTCAGTGGTGTTTTCAACCTGTTGTTATCCATGGACTTCTTGTTTGTTGGCAAAGTGTGTATATGCTATGGAGCAGTCTGCAAATGAGAATATGACACGGTACGCTACCATGAACCAGGGCAGCGGGGATTAGGAAATCTTGGTAGGAGCAGGAGCAGGTTTTACCTGCCAGTTGGAACAGGAGTTGGAACAGTAAGACTTGGCCTAGTAATCTAGCTTGTCCAGAGAATAACATTGAATTTCTTGCCCTATAAATGTGGCTCTTAATCTTTTAGGTCATAGTATTCTCTTCTGGAACGTTAGAGGCAAAGAAGCTTGGCCTGGCATTACTTTTATTTCTTTTAGCCATGCCCTCCAATGCGTTATTGCCGTCTCTGTTTTTTGGAGTTGGTTTGATACAGTTCCTTGCCAAAAGCTCAGGAAATCAAGCACACATCTTTTCTCCAGACAAGGGCATGGAGTTTGGTATACGTTTGTCTTTATTACATGCCACAGCTGTTAGGAGCTACCAAAAAGAAGCGCTACCAAGAAGCGCTACCAAAAAGAAGCGCTCTTCCTCAGAAAATTGGGGCTCCGAAAGGGTAAAGAGCAGTGAATAGAATTCCAGTTAATGTGAGTACCTGGAAATGAAAATTGTGGCACAACAGTAGGATAATGTTTTTGGAGAACTTCAGCCTACAAGTGCAAAGGTGTGTCTGTGCTGGCTTTAAATAATATCTGACCACTGTGTTACTCATGAAGACAGACAGTGTTTGTATTCTGTTGGATTACTGTCAATTTGTGTATAGACGTGCTCTCTTTGCAGAGAGTATAATTTGCAACAACCCAGTTCATATGAACAAAATTTCTAACGTAGACAGTCTTTAATAAACTTGATTAGAGTCTTGCAGATGTTGGGGTTGCATTTGTGGGAGTCAGAGTGTGTCCTTATCTCACTGCAGCAAAATTCATGTCACCAGGAGGCAGGAGTACTTGAAGTTGGTTGTACACTTGAAAAATTTGCCTACCAGCAGAAAAAAGCTGCTTACTGTGCTCCTCAGTTTCTCATCAGTGAGAGGAAAAGGGCAAAGCAGTGCATTTCGTTATCCGTGTTAGCTTCTGTGTATTAAGAACCAAGAAAATATTTCCAGTCTAGTTATTGGATAGAAATAAACACAATTTTGATTCATTTCCATTTTGCTCCTCAGATTGATATACTTGAAGATCCTGTTATTAAAAATGTCATTGTGCTACAGACAGTTTTACAAGAAGTCAGGAATCGGAGTGCACCGGTATACAAGCGAGTTAGAGACATGATTGCGAACCCTGAGAAACATTTCTATTCCTTCACCAATGAACATCATCGGTAAGGTGTGGAATGGGGTATAATAACCATGTAAGTATGTACTAGCCATGTGCCAACGGCTAGTAAAGGAAACTGGGAAAGAAACTGGAAAATGTGAAACTAGGAAAATAAAATTAGGCTGAGACTTTTAAGGGATCCTATTGGGAAATACTTCCTTGATCCAGGTGCTTTTTCATTTTATAATTAACGTAGGCGTGTGTGTGTGTATACACACACATATAGTGTATACTTGTATATAGTAAAACAAATAACAAGGTTAGCAAAAATGTTTTATTGTTTAATTACAAACAGTCATCTACATGATGGTCCTAATCAAGGGCAAAAAAAAACCCTCAGTGAAAAAAAAATGACTGATAAGTCTTTTCCACGTTACTTCTCACTTTTCCAGTGCTATCAAAAATATTTAAATATTGGGAAACCAGCCCAGTCAGGAAATAGTATTGATTTGTTCTTTGGTTTTTGTTTTCTTTTTTTCTGTTTTTTAGCAACATTAGATTTCTCATCTACTTGACAATATTAGTTATTCAGGCTAAGCAGCTTCTGAGTCAGAAGACGACAAACGTTCTCTCACTTACGCTCCTAAGAGTATAAGAACAGTTATGCTGCATTATAAACCAGTGGGAAATTTTAAATGGTGAATGTCCGCTTATAAGCTGGTTAGCTTATAAGTGCAAAATATTTATAATAGCCTGTTATTGTACTGTATTCAGCTGTTACAGCAGGCAAAAGCATTTCAGTGTTGGAAATAAATTTTTCAACTATTGCATTCAATATCCTTCTCAATTAGAAAATGAAAACATTAATTATGATTTGATCTAGGAGCCATCGGTCTGGGCCGAAAACCGTTGTAATCAATAATGGTTTTAGTAATTTTTGAACTAGGCCTGTAGCATAGCTTACTAAGCTACTTTTCTGAAAATAACGCTTAGTGCTGATTTTGAACTGTATGTGAGAAAGTGTACTTTCAGAAGTTATAATAGAAGACAGCTCTGAACCAGATCTGTGGAGTGCCTACGCATTTTGTAGCCAACAGAACAAGCTTTTCTTGGAGTCCCCTGTAGGAGTCATTCCAGTTGAGCACTTTGTTCTCCTCTGAGCTCTTTCCTTTTACGTGTATATTTTATTATGAAAAGGAGACTGAAATGCTGGATAAAATTTACAGACAAGATTGTTAACTTAAGCAATGGAGTAATGCCTTTCAATTTTATTGTCCCTTTTAAACATATCCCAATACTTTATTTAAACTTTGCCAGCTCAGTCTGTTGCAGGTTTCAAAAATCTAAAGTCAGAGTGACAGAAAGTTCTAAGGAATGAAGATGCAATTAATTTTAATTTATTTGTGCTCTCAGGTAGTTGCCACTGCAATTATATTTTAGTTCTACCTAACTGTTCAGTCATCAGTGAGAAGATTTTATTACAAATGAAGACATCTTCATTATTTTTCCTGACCCTCCTGTGTTTTGACCCTTCCTTGACCCGCAGAACGTTACACGTATTGTAAAAATTGGTACAACAGTGATTCTTGTGGCATCTCAGTCTTGTTTCAATATGAAAAGTTTTTGTAACTATTGATATATTGGGATTTTTGTGTGTGTGCGCGCTTTTTTTTTTCTTTCCAGAGAAACATACATAGAGCAACAGCAAGGCGAAACTTCTAATGACCGCAACGACCGAGCCATTCGGGTAGCAGTAAAATGGTACAATGAACACTTGAGGAAAATGAAAAATGAGGAGAAGATCCAAGTTATCTTTCTAACAAATGACAGGAATAATAAAGAAAAAGCTCTAGAGGAAGGGATAACTGCTTATACATGTAAGTAAAGTAGTGTATGTTTGTTTAATTTATTGCTGAGATATATCATCCCAGTAGTGTCTTTGTACCTAAATCATGTGCATCTCTTGCATAAATATTTGTGTGTGTGCTTTTATAGGTGAGGAGTATATAAAAAGCTTGATAGCTAATCCCGATCTTGTAGATCGTCTTGCTTGTATCTCTGATGAAGGGGTATGTTTTTATTTTTTTTATATATAAAAGAAATTAATGATAAATGGTTTGCAGCATAACTATTAGACTCTATATTATGGGGGCCTACTGGTATCAGTTCAGAAAGTGAAGACTCTGGACTTTATTACCAGTTTGACAGTTGAACTTTTTGACACCTAGAAAGAAAAAGAAAAATATTGCAGCTGTTTTTAAACTGCTTATATAC